ATAGAAGAGATATGGGGGGTTAGTTATACCAAGTTTAAAGTTCCCATCTTCAAATGTAAGTGGGTTAATAGTAATGCTGTGCAAGTGGATGAAGAATTTAGATTTGTTTTGGTTGATCTTGAGAGGTTTGGATATGGAGACGATCCATTTATTTTGGTAAGTCAAGCAAAACAAGTGTTTTTCGTTCCCAATCTAGCAAAAAAGAAATTGTCCATCATGCTTCAAGGTAAGAGGCAAGGAGTTGGTGGAAATGATAGTGACTTAGAGTTTAATCTTGATGAAACCCCGCCTTTCACAGCTACTCGACCTAAAACAGTTGAATTAGATTTGGTAGATGATGACTATGCTGTTAGAGATGATCATTGGGAAGGAATTTAAGAGGATAATCATTGTAAGGCTTAAATGAATTATTTGATTTTTTTTTTGTTAAATATACTTAATAATGTTTTATATTAACTTGATATTTCTTATTCTTACATTTATTAATTCTTTATTCTTCAAAAAGGAAATGGACGGATCTGGTCAACAGGGTTCTGGTGATGGCAGCTCTTTTACTAGCCAGAGAAAGAGTAGAGGGCGAACCCGTATGAGGTATTTGGCTTTACGTGATGAGACCACACAGCCTATGAGGATTACAGTGGAGTTTGATGATGATTTGAAGCCTATCACACCTTACTATCGGATCCACTTAGGATTTAATTAAAATCATTTTAGACCACATTGAATGGTCTTGGGCTCAAAAATTCATGAAAAATGCTAATTTTCGGATTTTCACTGTTCATCAGGTAAAAATCCAGTTTTCTGGCCCAACTTCAAAAATTCATAACTTAATCTAGAAAAATCGAAATGGGGTGGTTCAAGATTCCACTTAAAGCTCTTTAAGTGGTCTTTCAAAAAGAATCCTATGATCCAAATCCTTAGGAAAAAGCATCAGGTTTTTGTGAAATTCACCTCTGTCTATTTGACAAAAATCCTTTTTCCAGATTCTAAACCTTAAATTTGGAAAATCATTAAAAATCATGTACTTGGCCATTTTTAAGGTGCTATCTATCAATTTGAAGCTCAAGACATAAACTCTAAGCATACTAAATTTTGTGCAGAGATTTATTCGGTAACTTAATGAAACGTGGCTCTAAACTAACATCCTGCTTAGGGATTACAGCACCAACCATGGAATTTATACATAATCAAATGTCCATGAATTTTTATGCATCTTGCTCTTGGGAGTTTTAGGCCCTAAAATGTTAGATTATATTTGGGGGATGAGATTTTGAGAAATCCCAGTAGCAAGATCAATCAACCAAGACATTAACAAGCATTAATTACAAGCATTTCAACATTTTGCTATTAATAGGGAACTACATTACCTCGTACATATAGCACTCTAACATGTAATAGCCAAGGCACATAAAGAAAGGAGTATAGCTACACAATCATCATCCTTCTCATCATTTAGTTCAACCATATAATAGCACATGAAATTGCATAGCAATCAATGCAACATTGAACATTAAGGTCAATTAAATCTTACTACCTCAATCCAATGCTCTTTGATTTTCTTGTTCTTCTTTCTTGCTTCCACAAATTCCAAACCCTAACATGGCAATCCACAAAAATGGCAGCAAGGATCATCAACCATTCCACATAAGAATCAATATCATAACTCAAGTAACTCCTAAACCCCTTAAAGCTTCTATCTTTGTTCTTGAGTTTTTAGAGTTGGTTTCCATAAACCCTAAAAATTCCCTCTTGCCCTTTTCCTACATGGTTTTTCATGTAGATTCCAAATATCTACTTGTATTTAAGAAAATAAAACTTCCTCTTTCAGTTTCAGCTTGGCCGAACCATTAGGGTTCCTTATCCAAAAATTTCAACTTTGATTCTATGGCTTCCAACACTTGTTCTTTAGGTTTACCCTACACCATTTTTCATTTTGAACACAATGGAAGCCTCAAAACTTTGAAAAACTCATCCTAGGGTCCAGATCTTGGTTTGGCCAAACTATACCTCTTGAAATTCAACCATGAAAAACTTTTCAAAACAACACTAAACCACTTGAAACCATCTTAAATCATAGTGTTCTAACTATGTTTAACAACAAAACTTCCTTCCCTACACTATATCCATTTCGGCCAGCAACAAGAAGGGAAAGAAGTGATTTTTCCAACCATACAACTCAATAAAACAAAGCAAGCAACATCTTAAGACAACTTACCAAGCTTGGATCTTAGTTGAAAGGTCAAATAGGCTTGCTTTTTGCTTGATTTCCCTTCAAGTTCTCTCTCTTTCCCTCTCTTCATGCTTTGGACGAAATATGATATGATTTAGGGGGGAGGAGGAGCTCATTAATGTTCATAAAATATCCCACCAACCATCATTAATGATTTGCCAAGTGTCATAAGCCTACTTTGTCTTAATCCTCTCTCTTAATTAACTTAAATCGTAATGTAATTAAATTCCAAAGTCAAGATCCTCTCCATTGGTAGCTTGACACTTGAAAAGCTTTAATTACCATCCATTAAAGGCTTGACAAGTGGCAACTTATGGCCAAGCAAAGTGCAAGACTCCAATTAACACTTTATCGGTGCACTTTTACTCCGAGTTTAATTTCTTTTCTATAATTACAGCATTCTGGCCTCTATAATTATTTTCTGTTAAATCTATAAATTATTCTCCTCATTTTTATCTTTCCAAATTTCCCTCTTTGTCTCAAATTTAATTTCCCAATAATTAAATAAAAAGGAAAATTATTTTCCTTCTCTTTAGTGATTTTTCCTCTTTTCAAAGGAATTGGAAAAAATCTTGGAAACTTGATGGTCTTCTTTTAATTTCATAATCTCTCATAATTTCTTGGGATATCATAGGAATTTTCTTGGGATTTTATTCTCCTTAAAAATGTTTATTTGGAATTTTCCAAATAAAGGACCTTAAACTAGCTTAAATCGCCTTTAAATTCCTTTGTAATTTCTCTAAGGGTAATTTGGTCATAAGACCAATTTTATAATCCCATATAATTCTCAAGAAACATTGTCCTTATTTTTTCTTAATTTTCTGAGACTTGAAAATATTTTTCCATAATTATTCTTGACCAATTTTTCTTAATTAGTCAAACTTTTCATAATTGGCTTGGAAAATTAAAATAATTATTTTCCACCAAAATTCTTCTATTTCTCCTTGTCACTTTTGACCCTTAATTATTTAGGAATATTTCTTATTCCTAATTATCGTACTACTGGATCTGACATTTCTCCCCCTCTAAAATAAATTTCGTCCTCGAAATTTAAAGCGGATCTTATTGGAAAAGTTCAGGATACTTTTCCTTCATCTTAGTCTTTATCACCCTCATAGCTTTTTCTAGCATAAGACCTTTCCAAACAACCTCGACCAGCGGAATCTGCCTGTTTCTCAGCTGTTTGACTTTTTCATCAATGATTCGCTTTAGTCTGATCTCAAAGACGGGTTGTCTTGGAGCACAATGTCATCATAGCTTGTGACATACGTCGGGTCTAGATGGTACTTCTTTCATTAAGAGACATGGTAGACATCATGAATTTGACTTACATTCAGGGGAAGGGTCACTTTTAATCTACTGTTCCACTCTTGGACAAAATTTAAAACGGTCTAACATACTTTGAACTTAACTTCTTAAGCTTTAGGGATTGACTGACTTCTGTTGTTGGTTACACTTTAATCACCAACTTCAATCTTTAACGGTTTCCTTTAATGTCTGATAGCTCTTTTGTCTACTTTGAGCCATTAGAAATTTTTGCTAAATAACTTTAATCTACTGGGATGTCTGATCCATTATATTAGGGTCTTCTTTTAATTTCATAATCTCTCATAATTCCTTGGGATATCATAGGAATTTTCTTGGGATTTTATTCTCCTTAAAAATATTTATTTGGAATTTTCTAAATAAAGGACCTTAAACTAGTTTAAATCACCCTTAAATTCCTTTGTAATTTCTCTAAGGGTAATTTGGTCATAAGACCAATTTTATAATCCCATATAATTCTCAAGGAATGTTATCCTTATTTTTTCTTAATTTTCTGAGACTTGAAAATATTTTTCCATAATTATTCTTGACCAATTTTTCTTAATTAGTCAAACTTTTCATAATTGGCTTGGAAAATTAAAATAATTATTTTTCACCAAAATTCTTCTATTTCTCCTTGTCACTTTTGACCCTTAATTATTTAGGAATATTTCTTATTCCTAATTATCGTACTACTGGATGTGACAGCCTATAGGAAAGATTGGGGCTCAATTTACTAGTTATGTGGGTTATCTCGCACGCAGTAAAATTGGGATTGACATTCCTAGCTGGAAGAAGGTGGACAAAGATTTGAAGCAAAACATTTGGGAGGATATCTTGGTACATTATGGATTGTTTTCTCTACTTGTTTCAATTATAATTGCTTATTTACTTTATAACTCTATGTTATTGTATTACAACTGACATTTCATATTCTCGCCACTGAGTAAATGAAGACCGTCTGTTTAAGCAACTTGATGAATGGCAGAGGAATTTTAAATCCATTCTTACAAAACATTATATTCGTGGAAAAAGAAAGAAGAAGGAGAAATATGTGTCCCTATTTTCTACCTATTGCTCCCCCACAAAATTCAAGGAAGTAGTAAACTTTATAAATGGCAAAGAAAATTTAAAGCCCAAGGTAGAAGAAATAGGGTTTAGCCATCTTCTTGGTATTACTTTGAATAAGCTGTGCAAAGATTTATGTCTGGAGTTGATTCATGCATGTGACCCCCCAAGTAAACAAATCACCATAAGGGCGAAGACAAAGAAGGTAACTGGTACAGATGTTAGGAGGGTGCTTGGATTACCAGATAAGGGCTCCAAAGTGAAGTTAGATGGCTTCATGGATGAAGTAAATGAGCTGAAGAAGGACTATACTCCACTGACATATTCTCAAGTTGCAGAGAAGATAATGAGTGATGAATAAGATGGAAACTTTGAATTCTATTTTGCTCTTTTCACAATGGGAACTCTTCTTTGTCCCACAGGAAGTGCAAGTGTGAGTGAGAAGGTGCTAAAGATAATGGCTTGCATAGAAAATAAGTGGCAAAATTTTGACTGGGCTTCGTTTGTGCTTGACGAACTCAGTAAAGAAATTAAACGGTACAATAAGAGTAGTAAGGAAGGACAGACCCAGGGTGCCAAAGTTGTTGAAGGGTGCACCTACTTTTTATTAGTACTTGCATATTTCCTTACAAAATAAATGATGTTGGATATGGTTTGATCATTAAACTGTTAATGTATTGTGTAATTTGATTTTTGAGTCATGTTTTTTCTTTCTCTGTAGCTATACTTCCTGCAAAGATTCCCTTTGTAGGGAGGTGAACCGAAAGACAAAGACGCCGCATTGGGATGATAAGGCCATGAAGAGTAGAATTGATGCAGAAAAGGAGAGTCGACATGGCATTTTCTACAATCCACCCTCTACTAAAGTGAATGAGTCAACACAACTGGGAAACAATAAAAGTTTCCACCATCCGGTGAGTAATACCAATGTGGTAATGTCTGTTGGTCAGACTTAATATCTGTTTAATGACATACATTTATAATGTGTAAGACATTAAGGAGTTTTGGGTCAATTTCAACAACACATTGAAGAATGAAATGGCCAAGATTCAAAACTTTGTTTGTGATGAATTGGTTAAGTTGGAAAACAAAATTCTTAACTGGGGAAGCAATGAAGAAGTCAATTATGAGCAGTCAGATGAAAATAAGAAAGATGAGCATGAAGAAGGAAAAGAACACTACACTGAGGAGGATGAAGATGAGCAGTCACAACATGATGAAGTTATGATTGTAGAAGGGGAAGAAAAACATCAAAGTGGTGAGAAATCACATGATGATGAACAACAAGAAGAAGAAGAGGAAGATGAAGACAAGAATGACAATGTGAGAGAAAATAAAGCTACAAAAAAGGATACTAAAGGTGAATAGGCAGTTGAAACTGAAGAATGGAACGAAAAAAGGAAAATGGTGGGCAAAGCGGTACAGCTACCCACAAGGAGGTCAAGTAGACATAAACTCCCAGCAGTAAAATCTCCTTACATGTCTAATTATGGTAGAAAGGTGAAAATGAGTAACAGGGATGCATTTTATACTATTTGTACTGAGTGGTGTCAACCAGATGAGGCTCAAGAGTAAGTATAGTCAGTTATTATGGAAAAGACAGCCTGTGAATAATACTAGTATGCAATACTGACTACTTATTTCCGCTTTCATATTTGTTGTAGGGTCATGGTAGATATGTTTGGGCATTTGAAAATACAAGCAAACCTGCAAGCACTGGGTCCCAAAAGGTGGATAAGCAACAGGGTACGTGCACCTATTCAATTTACATCAAAGTGGCCATATATGGAATGTGCCACATTTTTAATTTTCCTGCTCCTTTAATCTACAGATCATGACTCTAATTGCCTACACCTTCACTGCTGACCAACAGGAGAATGTCTCTGTGGTTAAAAGACATATTTGATGCAGATTTCACGGTTAGTGCTATCCCCTGTTAATGGGTCAATGCTTTAAATTGTTCGGTCAAGTTATCAGTACAGTTTCTTCACTGACAATTTGCATTGCTATGCAATTTTCTGTTGTGATAGGCAAGGATGGTACAGGAACACACAGCATGCCAAGTGGACAAACATCTGAAAGAACTACTCCCCCAACACCTGGGATACAATTTGGCTGAATGTGAATACATATTTGCACTTGTTTTGTTTGCACTGCATTGGTTTTGCTTTGTGTTTGAACTGAGCACATAAAGTTTTATGTGCTGGACTCTCTATATGGTGGCGAGGATACAATGAAGCACCAAAAGAAGAAGAAAAAGTCTAATTCAGAATTAAAGGGGCAGCAAATGATGGCGCAAACTTGTATAAGTACTGTAATTATTGTTCTACTTTTTTGGACAACCATAGTATCCCCTATGTGATAATCATTTGTAATTGTGTAGAGGGTACACTTTATTGAAATACTAAGGAGAGTCAAGCCTGAGTTGGAGACTTTGGCCAACCAAGATTCAAACAATGTCATCTTGTATCCCACGGTTCATGTTCAAGAGAATACGTGAGTCTTTTGTTCACTGTAAGTTATTTGTCATAAATTATCATCGACATAGATAAGCCAACATTATGATGTGTTCATTTTTTAGTCATGAATGTGGGGTTCATGTCATCACATATCTAAGATAGTGGCCTGACCCACAAGAGAAGGATGGAGTTCAATTCACCATGCCTTATTATACAGCAGTAGGTGTTGAATTATATGTTAATGACTTCATGCATCTGTGTGAACTTACTGAGAAAAGTTATTATTGTCCCATAGGATTAATACACATCTATACGGTGAGCTGTTGTGGTGGCTTGTGACTCATAAAAGAAACATCAAGTCAGATACTGTTGCCAAACACCTTAACCAAATTAACACACAACGTAAGAGAAAGCGCTGACAGAGCAAATTCCTACCTTGTAGCTTTCACTGATAAGCACTGTAATTGTTGTTGTGAACACTTTATGTGGACTTAAATGTTGTGCATACAAAAGATGTTAATAAAGTCTGTTTTGATGGATTCATATTATCAGTACCTGTTTACTTTGATTAGATGTACAGTTGACAACAGAAATAAAGGAATTTGCAAGAATGATACAGAAATTAACACCAAATGTTCATCCATTTCCAACTGAACAACCTACATTAAGGATTAGCTCTTTGCACGAACGATTAGACAATTTGCAAGAGAGACAAATAATTTAACAACAATAATTAGACCATTCACAAGTGTCGGTCATCAGCTGAATAACGTGTCCTCTTACATATGCAAGTGCCCTCCTTCACCTAAACAAGATGTCCATTTCCATGTGGAACTAGGGAATTTGCAACCCCTATACATATATTCAAAACTGGAATCAGTCCATATACATGTGCCGTCCTTGACCTGAACAGGGTGTCCATTTGCAAGGGGGACTAGCAAATTTGCAAGACACATACTTGGCTTCACATGTGAAAGTAGTCTATTCATATATGGACTGGTTTACCTGAAGCATGTGTCCGTAAGGGAACAAGTGGGGGAGAGCCCATTTGCAAGGGGGACTAGCCAATTTGCAAGACACATATTTGGCTTCACATGTCGAAGCAGTCTATTCACATGTGGACTGGTTCACCTGAAGTATGTGTTCGTGAGGGAATAAGTAGGAGAGAGCCCATTTGTAAGGGGGACTAGCCAATTTGCAAAACACATACTTGGCTTCACATATGGAAGCAGTCCATTCACATGTGGACTGGTTCACTTGAAGCATGTGTCCGTGAGGGAACAAATGGGAGAGAGCTCATTTGCAAGGGGAACTAGCCAATTTGCAAAATATATACCTATATTCACATGTGGAATCAGTCTATTCACATGTGGACTAGTTCACCTAAAGCATGTGTCCGTGAGGAAACATGTGTGGGAGACCTCATTTGCAAAGGGGACTAGCTAATTTGCAAGACACATACCTAGCTTCACATGTGGACTGATTCACTTGATGCATATGTCCGACTTAAGTGTGGGAGAGCCCATTTGCAAGTGGGACTAGACAATTTACACCATACATGCACATTTTCACAACTATAAATAGTCTGTTTGCATGTGACCTACTCGTACTTAAGGAGGTGTCCGTGAGTGAACAGGTGTGCGAGGGCCCATTTGCAAATGAGATTAGACAATTCGCAATATAGATACATATAGTTACAATAAAAAATAGTCCATTTGCATGTGGACTGATTCACCTAGAGAATGTGTCTGTGTGGTTCCATGCATATACCATTTGCAAGTGACATTAGACAATTAGCAACATATATATATATTCACAACTGGAATCAGTATATTTCCATGTGACGACCTTCACCTGAAGAAGTTATCCGTGAGTGGATAGGTGGGGGAGAGCCTGTTTACAAGTGACATTACACAATTTGCAACATACATACATATATTTACAACTAAAAACAATCTATTTGCATGTGGACAGATTACAGCCTAACATAACCTGGGATAGCTATAGTCACCTACTGTCATGAAATATTTCAATTATTAACAGTACTAGACAAAATATAATCCAACCCACCACCAATAAATCAAAATGGGTTGTCATAGCTACTTCCCCAACAACTCAAGAACTACATAGTGGGGCTCATTTATGTACAAAGTAGCTGTATATTAAACCAAAAAAATAAAAGACTATTTTCAGCAACAAAGTCACCAAGATTTCGGGTTACTGCAAGTCTTTTTAGTGTGATCAACTTCACCACATCTTGAGCAATGATACAGTTTCTTCTACTGGAATTATGATTCAATCCTCCTAACTCTAGGTCTTCCAGCACGACGAGTTGTCAATGGTGGTTGCAGGAAGATGATGGACAAGTAATCTTCATATCAAAGGGAATCTGGCCTAGGGATATCATGGGTCTCAATTGGAATCATGAGTCTACCATAAATTTTCTTTAGGGATGAGAGTAAAAAGCAATCCTCGACATATGCATATATATTACCAAGTACCTTCTTGATTGCAGCACATGCATGTGGGCAAGGTAGCCTAGACATTTGCCAACCTTTGCAAGTGCATTCACGTAACACAAGATTTACCCGCACATCTAGACTTCCCCATCTAACCCTAAAATTGTTCATTCCATAATCTTGCATATCCATTCTTTCTGATCTGGCCACATGATCCATCAACTTTTCCTCTATAGTAGGTCCCACACCATTGGTCCAATTCCTCATGGCTTCTTTGCTATTGTACATCTTGTTTGCCAATTTTTCCCTATGCTCATGTATCAAGACAGCTATGTTGTGCTTCCTCTCACCAACAAGCCAAGCATTAAAGGATTCAGCTAGATTTGTTGTGATATTGTCCCACCTCTTGTAAGGAAATTTGCTTTATGCCCAACTTTCAATATCTCCATTTGTTTGAAGCCATTGTCCCAATTCTGGACAAAATCCTATTAGCTTTTCCATTCTGCGATCAAAGTTCTATCAAGTCTTGTGTATGCAATAGAATCAAGTAATTTTAGTGCAACTTCCTTTGTCTATCTGATGGTCCTCCTCTTTCCCCTAGTTATCTTCAAGAACTCAGCACTGTAATTCTCCTTCACATGACGATAGCAAAAAGCATGTCGATCTCCTCCAAACACGGCTTGCACTGCACCTTTTATTGAGTTGTGCCTATCCAATACTATTGTCACTTCTAAAGATCCCGTAACATCCTTTATGTTGCCAAGAAACCATGCCCACTCATGAAGCGTCTCACCTCCAACAATTGCATATGCAAGTGGGAATAATTCATTATCCGCGTCATACGCTTGTGCTCCCAATAACATACTTTTGTACAGACCACTCAAGTGGCATCCATCCACATATAATATAGGTCTACCACCTTTCAAAAACCCTTTCATACAGCAACCATATGCAATAAATATAGCTTGAAATCTATTACCTGACGATGCAACCCACTTTGTTACCATTTCTGGATCACGTTCCTTTAGCCTTTCACATATCTAAAGGATTAACATATAAGACTCCTATGGACAACCATGAATTGTGCCAATGCTCTCTCTTTCGCCCTATATGCTTATTGGTAGTTAAGGCTCAACCTATAATCTCTTTTCAAATCCTATCTAATGTCATTGGAGATTTGTGTATGCAAGAAATCAACTCATCTACTATGACTACTGAAGTAAGTTTGCACCTCTTTCTGTGAGGGACAACTAAGTTGTCTTGTGCATAATGTAAGTGTTCACTGTTAAATCTTCTCACAACTAGGATGCCATTCTTCTCATCTACTCCATATGCTGAAATTTCCCAGGGACAATCATCTACATAGTACTTCACAATCATCTTATGCCTATCATTCTTTACATATCGATAACCAAAGTCGTGTGCAAGGCTATACTTATATAATGACTCT